ATCAGCCCAACGCAATGACCAGAACAACAGAAACACAGTTAAAAGTCCAGCAAGAATGATTAAATCGTGAGAAAGATAAAAAGAGAAAACACTAAAATAATGCCAAATCTAAGATTAAGTGTAGAACAAGCAAGGCGCGTAGAACCCTAATAAACAAATCCAACGTTAACAAAAGAAAAGAAACAAAATCACACAATTGACGAATATTATAAGTACACTCAATAACATTAAATGCAGAAAAGAAAAATCAATAATCAAAATAAATATACTAATACAGAGAAGTGTCCTTGGTTACTTCCGTGATCTCCGCAAGCCCAAAACGCCAGGCGACAGCAAACATGAAGTAGTCAGAGCCAAAATGAGCAGGAGGGGAATGATTGGCAAGAGTAGGGGAGAGTGTATGTGGCACAGCCACACACCCCCCCCCCCCCCCCACCCCCCCCAGGACCACAAGTAAAGGCCGGACACCACCGGGCCGATTTCGGCCGTCGATAGATGTCTGCGCCGTCGATGAGCGTCCTGTCGCCCTACTCAGATGTGTGTCCAGCACCGTCGTGTCTTTTTCGGCAGATTTTCCACCTCCACCTTAATACAGTAGATGCAAACACAGGTATGGTGAAAAAAGAGAGAACTATTCGAAGCAGAAAAAAAACAGCGTAAAATACAATCTGACAATGACAGATTTTTTTTTTGGGATATTTTACAAATCACTCCCCTTTCAAACTCTATTCTTGTTATTTTTAACAACTTTTTTTTGTTACTGTCAGATAGTATTTTATACCTCTTAATAATTGAGTCTCTAATGTCTCATTAATAACTATAATGATCATATCAAGGTGTGCCTTAACCTCACTGAGCTGAGGTTATTTGAGCCTCTCAGGAGAGAGCTCTCTTCCACCTGGTTGTAGAAAAGCTCTTTAAATTCGTTAGCATAGCTAGCTAACCAGATGCTAATAACAACAGATCGCCACTGTGCTTACAACTAAAGACACAGCCTCGCAAACACTGCGGCATGTATACGGCTCCTTATGGGTACTGCAATATTTGAAGAGCTGGAGCAGCGTTCCGATGCGCTCCGTTACTCCTTTCAGAAGAGACATAATCACGTGAAGACCTATGGTGAAGACACGTTACGCTCGTGTTGTGTTCAATGAACCTGTCCTTGGCCAGGAAAAACAGGCACTCGCTTGTTTAATTATTTTGCGATCTAGATTTCTTCTTCTTTTTTGAAGTGAGAAGTTGTCCGTCCGTCAGTCGGACGGACGGACTGACGGACCCCCCCCAAAACGAAAACTCTTCGGTTCTCCACGAATTACACAAGTCACCCAAATCAGCGTTAAAAAAGCGGGAGGCGCCGAAAAGCGACTAATTTGCATCACTGTATACTACAACATTTGAATCATTGGTTCTTCCTCATTTTCCTCAATTGTTCATATTTGGTTTATTAAAATAATTATATTGTGGTCATTGTTAAAAAATGTCTGCTATTCTCATTATTGTGATTATTGTTTGTATAATGCGCTTTCTGCCTTCCTGTCATCAGGAGTTAGAAATGTAATGGCTATGTAATAGCCTAGATTAGAACCGTCATTATCCAAAACTGCTGGGACACTTCCCTATAGCGAATACCTTTTATATTTGTTCTACTCTTCACTTACTTGTCAGCATAGGTCTGCATTGATGTACAGAGCCGACAAAATACCTTGTTTTATATTGGCATCGTATTGAAGCCAACTCCATCGATCAAGCCAGCATGGCTGAAACTTTCTCTCCCTCTTCTTCTAATACTCCCTGTCACTCCTTTAACTCCTCCGGTGACTTTCTTTTATGTGAAGATAGTTTTTTGCCCGGCGCTTGGCCGCTTACCAGTGGTTTTAAAAACATTTTGGCGAATGGTTAGGTGGCGCTAAAGTCTGTAGGGAAGGAGCGCGCTCCCGCACGGGAGACTGCTCGCGCTGCGCTCTACTCGGCAACAACCGCCTCACGAAACGCTATGTTGTAGCGTTAATAAACGAAACAATGGTCAAAATACCAATACCACAGGACAATTTTTTTTTTTTAAAGCAATATTTTTAGTGGCCCGAGTTGGCAAGTGGAAAGTACGTTATGCTGGCTAAATAGTGCTTCCGGGCCAGTGGGCCATTTACAATGTCGAGCCCTGCTTTTACACATACGGTTCATAACGCAATATTGTTTAATTATCAGTAGCTGCAACACATTTTTAAAGCTGCGTTATCGATCCTTCAATAGGAAGTACTTTGAAGACTTATTTGCGCTTTTCTTTAACACGGACAATGCAAACTATTTAACTTGTCAGAGATGTGCTGCGTGTTTCTAGCATAGGCTAGTTTTGAAACCCTTCTCAAATAAAAACTGCAACTGTGTTCTATTTCTTGTTTGGAAAAGGAGAACAAATGACTGCTTTATTTCACATTCTTCTTCGGTATGATACAGTACAAGTTGTCATACGCACTGCAGTCACTAAACTTTTTTTCTTTGTCCCCTCAAAGGAAAGGGAGTCCCTCAATTCCAACATTGTCCAGTCCATCAACCAAGCCTCAGACGAGTGGGGGATCCGTTGCCTGCGTTATGAAATCAAAGATATTTATGTTCCCCCTCGGGTAAAAGAGTCCATGCAGATGCAGGTGGGGGCCAAATATTTTTCCCTCAACAAATGCTTTTTGTGTCACATATACGTTTGTTTCAGTATATTTCATTGAGATTGAAGAAGCGAGAAAATTGATAAACTTCAGAATTTGTATATTCAGTAAATGATTGTTTTCAACACATTTTCTTATATGAAAACAGAAACTGTTATCCTCAGAGTCTAGGAAAACATGTCCGGTCTTGTGTTAACTGTACTAACAACACTATAAAGTTTGGCATTTTACAGGTGAGGCTGGATAAGTTAGAGAGCTGTATTAATCACAAGAAAACACACTTTATTCCCCCTGTGTAGGTGGAGGCTGAGCGTAAGAAGAGAGCCACAGTGCTGGAGTCTGAAGGGACGAGGGAGGCGGCCATTAACATCGCCGAGGGTCATAAACAAGCCCAGATCCTGGCCTCCGAGGGAGAGAAAGCAGAGCAGATCAATAATGCGTCTGGTGGGTGCACTTCAAAGACCCAGCTCGGTTGTTTTGTACATATAGTTTCTTTTTGTTATGTGGTTCTGTGCTTTGAGGGGTTGTGCTTGTTTTCTGCCATCTCTGCTGTGCTTAGTTATGGTTGTTAGGTTCAGGATGCAAGGCTTAACATCTTGTATCACTACGGAAGCCTATTTCTGCCAGTAAAAGATAGAAAGTGAGATGAAAACTTAGCCGTCTGATAAACCAAAGCTGTTGATAATATTATGATGACAAACTCAAAAATGTGGACTAAGCGTCTAACATTTTTGACTTAACTTTAGTGTTTCCAATGTACGACTTAGCATCTCAAAAATACTGAACTCTCAAATGAATGATAAAGCATCTCAAGTGTGAATTAGCTTTTCAAAACAAAGAGAAATTGAGTCAAATAAAGACTTGATACTTATTTTGAGATAACAAGTCAACATTTGCAGAAGTGTTGCCCTTATGACCTACAGGATTTCTTTGGATCAGGCAGAAGTGGGCTTCTCTGATCAGGACACAAGTGAGACTTTATTAAATGGACAAAGTATTACTGTGTTTCCCCGCAGGAGAGGCTCAAGCAGTGTTGGCCAAAGCAGAGGCTAAGTCTAAGGCTATCCGTATGCTGTCAGACGCTCTGACCGAGCAGGTGAAGAGGACTTTATCTTTTTCAATGAGCTCTATACGACCATTGTCTTATTGTTCAAAGTGAATGTATTTTACCTTTCTTGTACAATGCACAGAATGGAAACGCGGCGGCCTCCCTTAGCGTGGCTGAGCAGTACGTGTCAGCTTTCTCCAAACTCGCCAAAGAGACCAACACCATCCTCCTGCCCTCCAGCACCGGGGACATCAGCAGCATGGTCACACAGGTACGTACACCAGCATCATTATCTCAGAGTACTTTTATTATCCAGGGGAAAAGGGGTTTGTGACATTTTCTTCATTTTACAATGAAAGAAAGAATAAAAAGATAGAAACAAACTATTTATATGAATCAGAAACAGGTTTATGCCAATAAGTTGACACATACGAGGAATTTGTCTCGGTGTACATTGTGCATACATAAACAGTTAAAGAAGATAAAAAGCAAGAAAAAAACAACAAATCAAAAGTAACATTTATACAAACATAAGTGAGAGTACAATGTCTAATTAAAGTGAAATCTAACTGCTGTCTGAGTTTGACAAGTGTCAATGTTGTACACTGAAACTTGTGTTTTTAGACACCAGAATGATTCTCTCGTTGTCTTTAATGCATAGCAATAATTGTTCTCATTCTGTCCTCCTGCACTCAGGCTATGACCATTTACAGCTCATTGGCAAAGACGAGCACACATGTAGTGGAGGAGAAGAAGAGTGATGATGATGATGGGAACAAACCACATCAATAGCAGGACTCAGCGGACACAGAATGAACTCTACTGACACAGAACCACAAGCAGCTACAGTTATGTTTTCAGTTATTTGGGACTCCAGGGCATCGCCGTGAGAAAAGCTTCACACAGCTTCAACTGACAGGACAGAAGGAAAACTGACAACTTTAAATACTTCAGGAATGTTTTGCCGTGGAGTCTTGGAGGAAATCATGCCCCGTCTCAGTGGATTTCTAATCTTCACTGACTATTCTTTACGTTTCGTTATTGTCTGATTAGGAAATAAACACATTTTTAGCCAAATATTCTCACAACAGTGACTTTGGCTGGCTGGCGAGAGGGAGAAATAGATGTCAGGTTTTTGGGATTCACCAGCTTCTGGGTGCAAAACACTGTCGTGCAGTAATGACTTAACATCATACGCTAATTATTTGTAATTACATAACCTCAATTGGACTTAAAGGTTTCAAAATATAATTAAAACACACAATCTTGTTAAATGTATTTGACTTTTGATACTGATATTGAGGGCTGTCTTACATAAGTTTTCAGGTTTGTAATAATGTCTTCAGCCCTATTGGGACCAGCAGCTTTGAGTTAAATGTGATGTCTGACTGTTTGCTTCATAATGCTGATAAGTTTTAAAAAATTAAGTTGATTCACAAAAAGCATCTCCCTAAAAACAACCCTTATCCAGTATCTACTTATATTATTTAACAATACCTTATTAGTTCATTGTAAATACACAGCCGGCCCTATAGGAACAAATGTCCCATAATTGTCTTTTTTTTTTTTTACCTCTTATGTCATGAGGTTCATGAAGTACAAGAAACAAAGATTTGTGAAGTGGAATTAGACTAAGTACGTTTGAAAATATACACGTTAGAAGAATACTGCATAGACGATCCTAAAGAAACACTTGGACTTCTTCAGATGTTATGTTTGGGAACCCTTGACTGTAAATGAATGAAATCTTACATTATAATTTGAAAAAAGACGTTAAAGTTGCCCTCCATGTTATGGGTCACTTTTTTGGTTCGCCAATGTACAATTACCATGACAATTCAATGTAAAAAAGGTGTTTAATTTGGTCTGAGTGTCAATAAATCAATGTATAAATGTTCAGCTATTGTTTTAAATCAGTAGAGGTATGTTGAACTTGCCAGGGTTCATTATTCGTTATAGGGATACATGGTAGGCGGCCTATGGCAAATGTAGTCGGGAATATTTGGCAAAATATAAGACGACAAAATAAATGCTTCAGTATTGTAAATGGGTAATACTTTAAATGGAATGCCTTTACATTCAAAATCATCTAAACAAACAAAGTATATCTGTTCTAGGTACATTGTCACAAGATTACAATTCGCGGTGGACTGAATTTGGTTCCTCAACATAATGACGGAGGGACACCTCTTTACTCACGTCCTCGCTCTCCTATCTGTGATAGTGTGTTTCAGCCCTTTTCTTTGCCTTACAGAGGGTCAGGAAACTTGTAGTTACAGTTTACTACGGTTTGCATTATAAATTGTTTTGCGTATTAAATTATAATAAAGCGGTTCAGCACTATCCAATTTAAGTTTCCTTCTGTTTATTATAACATATGGCATCTTTAAGGGTAAAGCCCATCATGACGACGTCAACAAGAACTTTCTCTACAACCATGTTAAAGAGGCAACTCAAAAAGTTAGTAATGGAAGCAGCAGGCTAACTAATAAAATGGTTTATATAAAACAAATAAACTACACCCCTGGCCCTGCAAGCGAACAGTGGAGCGAAATTTCTGTCTGAAAGTCCGGTATAGGGAAAAAAAACACAAACAACATTTCTGCGTTACACAGAAAACCTTCCTCCTCATATTTCCGCCGGGTTGCACGCACGCTGAAGTTCCTAGCTGCTGTCACCAGCCTCTAATCTCATCGTACCGGAGTCCCAATGAAGGTGAAGGGGGTGTCGCGCTGTTCTCTATTTACCTGAGACACCTGTACCCTTGTGTTGTTACTAAACACACACACACACTCACATCCGCCCTCTGGCAGAGAGAGGAAGGAAAACCCGACTGCTGCAAGGTCAGTGACAAGAGCTAACACAAGCTAGCCGCAGCTAACAACTTACTAACGGTCTCTTTCAATGTTACTAGCATTAGCATCTTGTTAGCCCCATAGACAGGTATATTTGACTGTATTTCTGTTTGAACCTGGATGTGTGCAGAATGAAGAAGCTTCCGGTGCTCTCCCTGCTCCTCTGGGTGTGTGCGGTGTACTTTGTGGGCATTTACCTGTTCGTCGGCGGGTTCCTGCTGGTGAGGCTGGAGGTGAACCGGACCAGTACCTGCGGGGACGTGCTGCAGCCCGGGGAAGTGCTGCAGCCCGGGGAGGAACCGGCCGACTTCTGCCGGGTCCAGCCTCGGTTCCGCCGGGCAGTCCTCCTCATCATCGACGCCCTCAAGATCGACTTCGCCTGGTTTGACCCCAACAACACGTCTCCGAGACCTTATGAGAACAAGCTGCCCGTTCTGGAGGAGACAGTCACATCCAGGCCTTCCCACAGCCGCCTGTATCCTTTCCGAGCTGACCCACCTACGACCACCATGCAGAGGATCAAGGGCTTCACCACTGGCTCCTTGCCTACCTTTGTGGATGTAGGCAACAACTTTGCATCCAGTGCCATCCTGGAGGACAACCTCATCCACCAGTTTGGGCAAGTGGGTGAGTACTAGATACACAGATGTCTTTATCATATGTCCTCTGCAAGACACTCATTTAGGATGTTCTGCAGAATTGAAGAAGATAATCTATCTTGACAGTTCTTTACAGCCTGTTAAGGGGATGCTAAAGCCATCAAAGGGCTGCTGCTGCTCTGCTGACTATGCTCCAATGGAAGCTTGTGGTAAGGCAGGACAAGCACAGGTGTGGATAATATCGTTAATGATGGCTTCGTCCCAATAGATTTCCAATGTCATGAATGAGTGGAACTACAACTACATGCACCATCTAAATGGAATGGAGCCATCTTTAATGTTTTAATTCCACCTGTGATTTTTCCTGCTTGCTTTAACAAGTAAAATGTATATTAAAGTGTGAATGTATACTGTTTTGTAGAGTTATATGCCTATACAGATATTTCTGTTTTGTGCCTAAATCATACTTTATGACATTGGTTTCAGTCATTGGGTCGTTAGATTATTCCTGAGGGTCGCCATATGGTTGTGGAGTAAAAAAAAAACATGGTCAATTGCTTTTAAATTGCATCACCTACAATGTTGTAACTTGTGATCAATATAATTTTGTTTTAGCTTTAGTGCCTACTGAAATCATATGCCACAAATGGTGAGACACGAAAAAACATGAAACCGCTTGCTAGCACATATTAGTTAATCTACCACTGTAGAGCAGACAGTTTGTGAGCAATCAAAGCCTTTGCTTGGTGGGGTGGAGATTTGCAAACACAGACAGGATTATTCTGGGATGTCACAACTTGAAAAAGTTGCGAACCACTGCTTTATCACACCTCAAAATCTTCCAAGTCAATTTTTAAATCACTGATGGCATATGCTCTGATTTGAACTCCCTTCACAGGCAAGCGCGTGGTCTTCATGGGCGACGACACTTGGGAGAATCTGTTTCCGAAGAAGTTCCACCGCTCGCTGCCCTTCCCTTCTTTCAACGTGAAGGATCTGCACACGGTGGACAACGGCATCCTCCAGCACCTCTACTCCACTAGTATGTATTCACCTCGGCACTTCCGTAGCCTTCTCCTAACGCACTCGCGCTTCACACCTCTCCATCTGTCACTTGCTGTTGGTTTTCTCAGTGGTGGGCGAGGATTGGGATGTCCTGGTCGCTCACTTCCTCGGAGTGGACCACTGCGGTCACAGGTTCGGCCCCGACCACCCGGCCATGGCGGACAAGCTGACGCAGATGGACGGAGTCATCAGGTCAGGAATACCACATCCGAGACATCTTTGATGAGTCTCTCCCTGAAATCCCTCTGACCATATTCCCGTTTTCCCTCCAGGTCTGTGATCGACCGCCTGCAGAACGACACCCTCCTGGTGGTGATGGGAGATCACGGGATGACGGACACGGGGGATCACGGCGGGGAAAGTCAGAAGGAGACGGACGCTGCCATCTTCCTCTACAGTCCCTCCCCTCTGTTCCCCGGACCGCCAACCCAGGTCCGTAGAGCACCGCCGGTTTTAGAGAGGCCCTATTATGCTTTTCCCTTTCCTGTAGTGTGCTATAGGTTTGTTTGCATGTAATGGTCTGCCAAGGCTAACATCCAGTATGAGGAAAAAGAAGACCTTTTTGAAAATATAAAAGCATGTAAACATGTCAGAGTTAGAGACACAACATACAAATATGAACCTGAAAATTAGCATGATATGGCCCCTTTTTTATTTTATGATCAAGAGCTCAATAAGATGAATTTCTAGCTAATTACAGGGCTCGACATTAACGACTGCCCGATGGCCCGAGGCAATCTAGTATTTAGCTCGGGCAATGAAGCCTCACCTGCTCGTTGCCCGATCGGGCAATCTATTATGGCAATTGTGGAGACGTGTCGGTGCCTGACAGCGGTCAAATCGGTTGGAAAACGATGAAAAATTTGCCAAAAGTCGGTCAACCCGTCTTTCTTTATGGACGTCGCCATTTTGTGTGCTTTGCGGATGCACTCGGCTCCTCTCGACTGGCTGCTCGGGTCTGGATCAGCTTCCCCGGTGAGGGGCATTCGTAAGCACTTCGCAATGTTCGGGCTGGCCTCGGTCAAACGATTTCTATACAATGAATTACCCGGACAATGAATCGAATCACTAACCTTCTTCTTTATAATTCTCGGCATAAATGGCAGAGTACTATTTATTTGTACTTATCATGTGCAGGTCATTAATTTCTTGTGCATGTGCAGGTCATGAAATGCAACAATATTTTCACATGCAGGTCATTATTCAAGTACCTCCCATGACCACCCTGAACGTGCAATTTGTTGTAATTAATAATTGTATAAAGCAGTTATTTCAAGGTGGTTTCGACCCTCTTGCCAATTCTTAATTTCGAATAAGCGGCCAGTTACACTCGAGGTCTCCCATACTAACAGTAGATAACATTTTACAAACATTTTAACAGGGGCCATAATAGTATAAATAATGTTTAGTTTTGGCAGTTATAACTGAATGTAATGTTTTCTACTTGTTTACATCTGGGAAGCACATCTTGCCTTCAATCAGATGGAAAGTGTCTTGACCAACCAACTTAAGTATTTCTTATAACTATGCAAGGGCAATGCCAAGTGAGCAAACACAACACAAGAACTCATGCAAACAAACAAGTGAAATGAAGAATAAAAATTGAAATTTATAATATCATATTGTGGTGGTTCCATCTTATTCAAGTCTAGAGAATGCACCAGACAGCATCTAAGACCTTGCAAAAATCTAATGTTTAGGGGCGAGGCCCCCCCAAACCCTTCGTGTGACAGTAATTTCTTCCGCACCGCATTTTTCAGGGCAATCTCTATTGCTAAACCCGTAAATTAAATCCTTAATGTCATCGCGCTGAATTAATTAATCTTAAAAAAGATTATTTCAGTTTATTGTGGAGGTTAATGGACAAAGAGAAGATAATAACCAATCATCATATTATTTCTGTGTTTTATCTGTTGTACGTAACTTTGTTCATAGCTGCCCTTCTTGGGCCAGGTCGGCTCTTGGAAAAGAAGATTTTAATCCTCCAAGAGACTTTTACCTGGTTAAATACAATAAACAAATCTTTATGAATTCCTATTAGACACGGAGACTCAATTTTCCTTGATTCAACTTGTCTAGCAATCTCCCTAATAAATACACCGCAGTGGCAAAAGACTTCTCATTAATGGATTCATTATTCCATAATCTGCCTTGCCGGTTAACTTTACTACATCAACCTTTGGGAAGATTTGTGGAGTTTAGGTGCTCAAACCATCTATTTGTAGATGAATCAAATTGATCTACGCTCTTCAATAGTTAAGTAATTATAGGCAGTTTGCATTCGGCAAACGTTGAAGATGAACTTTCCCCGCAAGATTTATCTTCTTGAAACTAGATTAAAAAAATGCTAAATAGGTGCCAGTGA